AACATTTGAGTTCAAATCCAGTTGGACTCGTGTTTTGTAGCGGACTCACAATATTTTTTTCCCGTATATATTGCTGCTTTTTTTTGTTGGTTTTATACCTCTATGTGCAAAATCTGTTTACAAGTATAAGAAAATATTGCCATGTTGAAACTAGCCCGAAGAGATTAACCTAATCATTCTATATTGTTTAATTTCTTTTCACAAGAATTTAATTTATAGTTGATTCGATCAAGAAGCTGGGGAACCGTTAAGCGTAGTAGAAAGGATATTAAAAAACGGCTAAGCATTTCTTCTATCAAAATGCGCTTTAAAATTCCCCTATAGCGATACTTTCCGCATCAATATGCATTTTGAATCTTTGTAAGTCGATTTAGTTCGAAAAATTTTTTTCGATTTGCCTGAAATTTTCTAAGTCCGACTCTGGTTTATAAAGGCGGCACTTGTCTTGCGATAGGAACTTCTAGTTTATAGTTGATTCGATCAAGAATCCGGGTAGCGGGTTAGCGTAGTACAAAGTATAATAAAGGACGGGTTAGCATTTCTTATCTTAAAATGGGCTTTGAAATTCTCCTGTGTCAAATCTTTCTGCACCAATAGGCAGTTCTGACCCTTCCTAAGTCGATTTATATCAAAAAATGTTTGTAAGTCAAACTTTGGTGGAAATTTTCCAAATGAAACTCAGCCTAGTTGACTCAAGAATGCGGGTGGCGGGTTAGCATATTACAAAGTATAATGAAGGACGGGTTAGCATTCCTTATATCAAAATGCGCTTTAAAATTATGTGCTGAGTGGTTATATTACTACGTTAAAAATAAGCAGAAACTCGCAGAAATTTTTAAGCAAAAATAAACAGAAATTTCAGTGAGACAATTTTACTCGAAGTGCACGAGTTATTCAGTTGTCATGAAAGTATCTTAGGCCCGGTTTAGACGCCGTGCTTTTCATGAGCCGAACTTAATTCATATTTTACTCGAGTAAAATAGGCGTACTTCCAATTTTGATTTAGACAGGCGTGCTTTTCATGAGCCGAACTTAATTCATATTTTACTCGAGTAAAATAGGCGTACTTCCAATTTTGATTTAGACAGGCGTGCTTTTCATGAGCCGTACTTAATAATTTGCGCTGCTTCACTTCGAAACCTGGGGCGAGTGACAATTCATAATACGGAAAAAGGGTTTATCACATACAGTCTTGGCATTTCTGAGCGTCTACAGGTTTGTGGTTATTAAAAATTGCAATTGCTTTTTGAAAAGCCTTATTACTACAAACATAGCATAATGCCTGGATATAATGTGTGGGAAAACGAGACCTATATAGGCTTAGGGCGAGTTTTTCCACGTTATTCGAGTTCTCCGAAACTACTAGAAGTGTTTCTATAACTGTATGGGTCATACATAATAAATGCTTTATATTTATTTCTTAATATAACTAAAAAAGATTTGTAGTAGACTCGATATATTTACAAATTCTCATTGCGTAATAATGCCGACCTTTGCTCCATCAATTTACTGCAAGAAACCCTTTTTGCCTTTATCAGCAAATATCGCTATAGCGTATAAGCCTAATTTCGCAACTTTCATGCAAAGAGTCTAACGAAAGGTGTATCCTTTGCTACAAATTGACGTATATAAAGAAAAGAAAGGGAAATTCTACCGCGATATTTGCCGGGAAATTCTACCGCGATATTTGCCGGTATTAAATCACTACAGAAAAAATAGAACAAATTACAGAAATACAAAACAAGCCGGAAGTGGGAAGGTTTTTGTATTTTGACTGTATTAAACAATTCTTAATTGTTTTGTTTACGATTGTAAGTTTAGGCGGGAAATTTCCCGCGTAGAAACACGCTTCTCGACCAATCAACGCACGCGTACAATAAATGTTCTATTTTATCATAATTTATGCATTTGGTACGGCTCATGTAAAGCACGGCAGTATAAATCAACATGTGCTTCAGCCGTGTAGCACGCCTGAACCAGGCGAACTTATTAATTTAGCCGTGCTTAATATTAAGTGCAGTGCTTAATTGATTTAGACGCCGTGCTTCTCATGTGCTTAATTCATTGTATTAAGTTCGGCTCATGAAAAGCACGGCGTCTAAACCGGGCCTTACGCACCTGTACTTTACACATGACTGACTTTTGATTGCCGATCGTCAAAAAAAGTTTGTTTAAAAAAAATTCGTCTGGAAAACCTTTTCACTGCCAAAGGCGATTTTAGTCTCCCACAGGCGACATGAAGCAAGCTTTAACCAAATAATCAAAATTTTACTTTGTTCATGGATACATGACAATAATATGAAAAAATTGTGTTATTTTTGGCACGTTCTTTTTGCAGAATTTTTCTCGTGTAAAAATGCAAGTGACTTTGTCGCTGTCGTCCCTTGTTGGAACTCCCCAGGTAGGATTTATTGAGTGTAAATAATCGTTTATAAAGCTTAGCGTTTTTGTTTGCATAGTGTTTCAATCTGAATGGTACACTAGTAATAGTAACTATTTCATTTGAATAGAGTTGTTATAATGAGCTTTAATATAATAATGTATTTTTTTAAATTACGTTTTAGTATGTGAATGGTGAACATCTAAAACGATCATTGAAGACCATCATAACCTACGCTGAAACCGATCATGAACTAAAGAACACCAATTTTCCAGAACAGGTATAGAAAATTCTCATTCAGTTCAGTTTTCACACAGCTATAATTATTAATAGGCATTTCGATGTCTGCTCTAATTAGCGTTGAAAATTGGGATTTGGAACTGACACCCTGTGTAACGCAATCACGGTACCACGAATAACGAAGATTCTTGTTGGTATAGCTACTGTTTAATGTCTCCTGTTTGAACTAATGTTGTTTTGATATTCTTTGAAGGTTCGTGAACTAGTGTTTAACCTGCACATGATTCTAACTAATACAGTCAAGATGCACGAGTTCCATGAGGTATGTTATTTCACTGGAATACATCTACATGTATGATCCTTACTGCGGAAATAGCATGTACTCTTGTGTGGGTAACAGTCTTAAAATCTAATTTCCACATTAATTGCCTTTCTGATACTATGCACGATCAGAAGTTCCACAGAAAAATTACCACGTCGCTGAGTATTGCAT